GTCTAGGTAGGGTTAAAATAGCAAAAAAGTCCCATTTCACGCAATTGTAGGTGTCGTATGCAATGCGCCAAACATGTGAATAACGCATTATGTATAACATGTTTTGTATGTGATTTCAGGTCATTTGGTTTTCGTTTTATGGCACAGGAGCCAAAAATTTTATTTTTTTACCTTTCAGACAACACGTATCCGAGTGAAACAAACGGCTGCCGTGGTCTCCGTGACTTTGTTCGCCCCTACCGCGGCTGCATTATTCGCGTTACTGCTGTGGTGGCAACCTTGGTCATCTTGGGACTCGTCGTAATGATGTTCAATGTTAAAAAGGTATTTGCTGGATGTATTTGGACGTATCACGGCGGTCTGTCACTACGGCATTCTTTCCCATTGCTATGCGCGTTCTAAAAGGTATCGGGTTACAAGACGCTATTTTGGCCTGTTTTGGACTACCCGTAAAATATTTGAAAATAAACAAATAATATTTAGGCGTAAATTTCGTCAAATTAAAATAAAATTATCGTCTTAACATCCTTTAAATGTTAGCTTTTTATGTTAAATCACTGATTTTTCAAAATTTCGCTCAGAAAGACGATTATTTTCGGGTTTCCGGGCACAAGTCATGTCACGTTTTTAGGCAAACATCGTTCAAACCTGGCTATGTATATTACCCCAGATCCCCGATTTTTATATTTTTCGCTGACTAGGAATAAGATAAAAAATCGTGTTTTAGGGATTTTTTTATTTCTGATTTTAAGTCTAGTTTTTGTCGACATATTGGTGAAAAAATGGCATTTTTTGACATTTTTCTCACTAAATTACCCATAATTCAAAAATGAGGCCATTTTTACAAAAATCCCTAAAACACGATTTTCGGGACAGCCGTTACAGTCATTTTGAGCCGTAAATGGGGTATGTTTGACTCTCCATGTTTCCAGGTTTGAACGAGTTTTGGAGACATGTCATATCGCCAGAAAGTGTGCATTGTGTTATTCATACAGGCGAAAAGAATCATTACAGTATTCAAGGTCACTCAAGGATACGACAATAGCTTCGCTACATGTTACATGTCCACCAA